AAGTTGATGTATTTCCTCAGTGACCAGCACGGATCAGCTCCAGGCATGACGAAGTGATATCGTCCTCTTTTGGAAGGCCAAATAAAGTAGTTTCGCTCTCACAACGAAGCACACAGCGCCTTCACGACATGGCGGCGGCGGCAACAATACTACAGCGAGAATAAAAGTTACGCCTTCTTTCTTTGCGTGAACATTTGGGCAGCGTTATGCAAATCTTCCCAGATAGTGACGTATGTATGTGGGGGCGTGTTAGAACGAGCCGTTTTAGGTAGGTGTGGCTGACTCTGAACTTTTATAAAGAATATCTCTTTGGATTTGAGACTTTAGTCTTTGCAACTTTACAGATCTTCTTTATGCACCAAGAGCTTGTAACACTCCAAAGAGAAAGGAAAAATTGAAATCGCATCATATGACCCCTTTAAGTGAACATAAACAGTTGAGAAAGCAATCTGATGTGTATCATTATACTGGATCAATGCACTGTCTCTTAAAGTGACCGCGCCTAATTTACCAGCTGCTGTCGGTGTCCATATTGTTAATCTAAGAAAAAAGAGAGAAAACCACTCACTGCTCTTGACTGAATAAATTTTTTAGCTTTAACAAGGATTAGTCTATATTTAATCTAGACACTGACGACTATGCAGTGTTATTTTACATTTGATTATTCCGTTTCTGTACCTGAACACCTACAAACACTTGTCAGCTGTTTAATTTGTATCTTTGTTCTATTTATTTATTTGTGTTAATGTTTGTAATTTTTTTAATTTGTACTTATTTTATTGACTCTTCACTTTTCTTTAATAATGATAAAATAATTGAACTTTATATGTTAGACTTGAAGTATTGCTGTTTTATTGAAATTGGAATCAGGAATTGTAAAATTTAACTGGCATCTAAAATATCGGTGTAATACAAGCTTATTTTATTAGAATACTACCTAACATAACAGTGTTGTAAATATTATAGTGATGTAAATAGTTCTGGTGTAATATTATAGTGATGTAAATAAGACCTGCCCCTTTTTAAAATAAAATCTAAAGCTACTAAATTAATACAAGATCTGTGGGGTAAAAAAATAATATAAAAAATGAAAAAAGAGAATGTAAAAAAAAAGCCATATATATATATATATATAGTTTTATGAAGCCAGTCATGCATGTGTGTTACAGTGGTTATACCACTTTAAGAGGATTATTCGCATTACCCATGATAAAATCACTGTAACGCATGACCTGGCTCAGTGGCTCTTTGCTTTAGGTGAACACAGTCCAGTCCTGAAACACTCTGGCAGTGATTGGGAATGGAGCGGTATACAGGTGTTCCTTTTTACACGGATTGAATAGGACTTCTGGGGTCAAACATAGTCTTCTTTAACCTCTTTTACACCAAAGCAAGAGTGCACACACACACACAAATAACATTTGACTCAGAACACATCCTCTGTATTCTGAGCCGTGACCTTGTCCTGGTAACTAGCGTGTAAAAAATGTGACCCAGATGGTTGACTTGCTCAGGGACGTCTGATTGAGCTGTAATAAGGGTCTACAGCCCACCCACTAATGTGGTAAAATGAAGAAAGTAAACTGGAAAACATTTTGATTAGATCAAGTTTCAGCAGCGTTGTGGGCCGACTGCAAGCAGACACTTTCAAAATAAACTATAAGACCAGAGAAAAGAAAAATGTTCTAGCTTACGATAGGCTAAAGTAATGGGAGAAGAATTTTACAAATAAATATGACAACGTTGATACTTTATGATAGTGATTGATGTTTTATTTATTTGTGTCATTAATTTGTTTGTTGTCATGAATGATCCACAAACAGAACAAGAAAAAGGTAATTTTTACAGTGTGGAATCACCAAGAAAAATAAAAACAAACTTTTCCATGCCTTTAGGTATTATACATATTTCAACTAATGTTACATGTGTTAAAAATAATGTGTTTCCCATTCATTTAAACAAAGCTGTGCGTGTGTACAGATTGTGTTCTCTTGGGGTGTAGTGTCCTAAATATTTACCTAACTAGATAAACACACTCCTAATCATTTTAATATACGTCTACTTCCACTACATGTATATGTGTACGGGACAACAGAACTGCATTTTTAGTGGTGTTCGTGTGTCGTCCACTGTAGGTTGTGGTTTCATTTCAGGCACACCAATGTTTATTGCAGTGTAACACAGGGATATGACTGACAGTTGACCCTTTGACTACACAAAACAAGAAGCATATGAAGCTCATTACTACAATGAAGTCAAAGAGCAGAAACAGAGCAGCAATTTGAGCTAGAATATCAACGTATGAGGCACAGATTTGTGGTGCGGTGGGTGTCCCCTAGTTTTATGGTTCAAAAAACATAAAATCCAAATTCTGTTAACAATTTCAACAAGCATGTTTACATGCACATCATTTTCCGACTAAGCTCTGTGGTCTGAATAAGCCTTTAATCTGGAAAAAAAAAATAAACGTAATTGAATCAGTCTCCTTTTTGCACTGAAAATGATCTGGATAGCTTGATTTTTCACAAATGCACACACCTTGTATTGTAGCACTGATAATTACTCTCATTTGTACATATGCAGATCATAACACAAAATTCCAATTCACATAAGCTTATTCCAGCTGTCTCAGAATACAAGAAACCAGAATATTGGCTTAATCCGGTTATGGCAATTGGGTTCATACACATCAGACAAAAGTCTGATATTAACCGTGTAAACGCTATCATTTAGGTTGAACGTCAAATGAGCATCCAAAGATCTGAAGAGCCCCACTCTGATCGATCGTGTGTGCTCTCCGCAGGGAATGGGACAGTATATTCATCTATACTCACAATGGCGAATGATCCCTTTCCCCTTTTATGTGGCTACAGGGCTTATACTAAGGGAGTCACTGGCACAGATTTCCTTAAAATAGCAGCATTCATACTGGGCCTGGTGTTGTAGAAAGGAAGACATTTAGTGGAATTGGAAGGAATCCATGATATTAAACAGTAGATGGGATTGTGGAACAGCAGGAGTAATCATGCAGGGCAGCAGTCACAAATCATTCACGCCGCTAGATGTTAAGTTAACAGGTGGCCTCCGCTATTCATTGGACGTCAACACTCTTTTTAGATCGGGACCACATAACATCTGGGTGCCCTGAACACTGGTTTCAATTAGGTCAAATATAATCACTCAATTTTCTGGCATTCAACAAAAATGTTCTTTTTAAAAAAAAAAAGACAGATTTTTGATAAAATCTTTATCATGTGATCAGATGAGGTCAACATAGATTTATTTGCATGCAAATATATGCCGGTTTAACAAAAAGTAAAAAAATGGAGTAATAGAGTTTTCTAGCAAATTTACGCAAAACCTGCAACAAACATGATGTTGAGTCAACTGATAGAGACAGACACAAAAAATATATTTGAAAATATATTTAATGACATACAAACACTGTTCTAAAATAATAAATGCAATATTTAAAAAAAAAATAATAATATATATATATATATATTACTCAGAGTACTAATACAAGTGTATATAGGGAAGAAGCATATTTGCTTGAAAAAAAAAAATCAAACTTAATTTTGCATGTCCACCCACTGATATCTAAAGCAAACTAATATGGAACAGTAATTGTGGGCTGCAATACCTTGGGTAATTTCAGGAAATATGTATAGTCCTAGGACTCAGTGCTTTTACAACAACACCACAATAATTTCAGTAACAAAGAAAAACATTTGTTTGTTTGCAAAATCCAATATGGCTGTTTTTCCCCACATAAAAAAATGTATTTAGGTGACTTAGAGTTTAAGGCATTTACACTTATTTTGTAAAATAGCAGCAGTTCTGTTTTGGAGTGGTTGCTTATAAATCTGATATGTAATCTAAAGAAAGGAAATTAGACTTGATCCTGTAAAACTCTCTCTAACTCAGAGCAATCAGCTATGGATCAGTGGTAAAGAGTGGTAACTCATCTACATCTCTCATATAAAAAATCGTTATTAAAAAACAAAGCCAAATAAATAAGAGGAATTATGAGCTAATATATACATAATACTGTACATCAAATGTCAAAAACTATTTCTTTAGATATGTTATTCCAGCAATATGACACAGAAGCTCATCTGTCCTCAGTGACATCCACAGGACCTCACCACCATATTCCTGTACTTCTTCAGAATTACATTTGAGCTGTCATCAAAATACAGCACTGATATGGCATTCAGTTTGGTCGGTGCACAACAAGGCTTTGGCACATTATCAGGAAACATTAGATGGACCTAAGACGAGCAAAAAAAAAGAGAAATGTATGACACGTGGGACTAAAAACCAGTGGGTTTTAACTTGAGACAACATAGTAACAAAAATGGTTTATCAAACAAAAATATCTTTCAAACTAAACAATGAAATGTATTTATTAATTGTACCATGAAATACATGAACTACAAGTTATGTATATATATATAAACTGCTGTCCATTTTTAGGTCTAATTTTTAAAGCTGCTGCTATAAACAATTTAAAAAATATATTGTATGATGAAGCAAAGGACGCTTACCAAGGTCTGCACAATCGCATGGTTTGTCGCATTCATATGTGCATTCAGTGGAAACGAACATTCTCCATCACAATAAAAGGCTGCATAGCCCTCTGGAGCAATAATCCAATCCTAAAATGACAGAGAGACAGAGATGAATTCTCTGGCTGAATGAAGCAATCACGCTGTGCAGTCTTGTAATTGATTGATCTCTTGCGAGCCGCCACATGCATTTACCTGCCATCCTAAGTCGCGGAAGCTCACGTAAAGTTCATGCTTCTTGCAGGCTTGTCTCTGTTCACTGGTGTTCTGATCTAGATAACAGCAGCAAAACAGACGTTGAGCGTTCAAACACTGAGGTAGTCGTGTTGTTTAGTCTAGGAGTGTGTGTGGGCTCAGTGTGCACTATGTTTGCAGCTGGCAGGACGTCTTTGTATACAGACTCTGAATGCAGTAAATACTCAGTAATTTGATGGCAGCAAAGAGGCCTACATTCATTAAACATTAGGTAAGCTCAGCAGGTATTCCTCAAGTGAGTGATCTAGAACTGTGGATTAAAAACACTGCCACTTAGTAATTGCAAATCAACGATGTTGTAAGTGATTTATTGCACAGACTGTTTGCACAGACAGCTAAACTGGATGATGACATCACTGAATCATCAATGAACTGATTTTAGCTGGAACAATTCAGTATTATTGACAAACTATTTTTCTGTTTGACACTTTAAAGCTGTTTTGACGCAATCAGTATTGTATAAAGCGCTATACAAATGATGGTACAGAAAGTATCCCACTAATATGACAGGTTTCACTGAAAAAGAAGCCTAGGAAATCAAACATTTCTGTGGTGGCCCTAGCCGCTGTAAAAGCCAAAAAAGGGACAGTGGGATATTGAGCTTCTTTAAAACATGATTGTAATCATGCCTTGAACACCATCTGACTGACAACTAATGTGAACCAGAGTTTATTTTGTATTTTACCTGCCATGGTTTATCTGAAACACTTGAAAGCACTATATTGGACTGGTGTAGCTAAAAACAAAAATAATAATAATGGCAAAACATTCTCCACAAGCACCTTCTTATAATGTGCCTTGAGTATCTTTAATAGATTTGATGCCACTAACCTGACAGATTTCATAAATCCAGTGATTAGTTCAATTAATTTGATCCAGTAATTAGACAAGAGGTTGTGAGATCAAGAAACTGCTTTTGAGGTTTTTTTTGTAACGTATGTACATGATGTCAGAAAGTGAGCTGAAGCTGCTCTTTCGCCATGTCTAGTGGAAGTTAGAAAAATTGATAACATTAATTACAGCATCTCTGAATGTTTTTAAATATCGAAAAACTGTACTGTACCTCCACTTTTAAGAGCTGGTGAAGATTTCTGTTGTGTTCTACTTTTGTTTCTGTTGTGGCTCTTCCTCTTGTTTCCTGTGGCTCTTACAGAACGGAGCAGAACCTCACTGGCTTTGAAAAAAGCAACCAGGAATGGCTGTTTGGACTGAGGTCCGGCCCTTCCGATGATGCCAGCAGATTTCATGTTGATGCTTCTACCTGAATATCAAACAGAAGAATGCATCCGATTACAAAGATCAACGTTAGACAAACAGCCATGATTAAGTCATGAAAACCTCTTCCTGGGTGGCAAAATCACCACAACTAATTATGACAGTTTCTATGGTCCACACAGACACTAGTGATTGTGTACGTCAAACTGAGCTGAATTCAGGGCTGAAAACTGATCTCAAATTGCAGACAACTTCATGGCATCAGGTTCCCATTTAAGAAAGAGGAAAAACTGGGCGTAGTCGTGACTCAAAGATGATCCTTTTGTGAAGTCTCACATTGGTAAACGTGTCTGTTTTTAAGCTAATATAATAAATATGTGAATGGAAATGAAACCAGCTGCATTTCATGGTCCTTATTTCCAGTAAAAAGAGAATGCATCAATCAAAACAATAAAGCACATGCAGGAAAGAACACTAAAATATGACGCTGTCTTTAAAGTGACCAAATGTTTATCATTCAATAAATTACCCAACAAATTATTTACATAGAGCAATGGCAGTCTGACAGATATTTATTGTAAAGCTCCACTAAAAACAAAACACATCCCACATTCACAGTTCCACGTATTTAAACTAGAATTTCCCGTACAACGGTGTAACTCTCTACATAAACACTGCATTACAATGCCTCACTGAAGAACTCAATTAGGTAGGCCCAAATTTTTGCAATTTTGCCATACATCCAAAATTCAAACCATATTGATTCAACAATATAGGTGTTGTAAATGATGCCACACAGGTGGAGTAATAACTTCTGCTAATTAATTGGTTTGAGACTGAAATAATGCTAGATTATTGCTGAAAGTCATGAACATGGCATCTAAGGGCTTTTTGTTATCTGTTGATTTATTTCAACTTGGGAAATTTTTTTTTGTGCAACATACTTCACTTCCAACAGACTTCAGACTCCCAGTGATCAATAACCAATGACAATTTCATGAGCATTACTATCTGAAACACTCTGTCAGTAATTTATCAAGCAAAACTGGAAAAATAATGTGTGGAGTGGCATTATACTCCAAAGAGCTGGGTAGTAGCTAAATTACATGTAATCTGGATTACGTAATCAGATTCCAAAAATCAAGTATTCGTAATCAGTATATACATTTTATAATGCTCATAATCAGATGATAGTTTTTTTTTATGGATAACATGATTACATATTTGCACAGTGGCAGTTCTGTCATGACAACTCTCAAAGAGTTTTTACAAGGTAATATACATGCCAATGTTAATGTGTTTGGTCTTGGTTTAATTGATCTACTACGCTGCTATGGCAGAGCAAGCATCGAGACTTGCTGCAGCCAATGCATCCACAGATATGCTGCTGTGAGCATGTAAAGAATACTGCTGCTGCACATATATATGAAATAACCCCCATACATAAACATGAAACTACCCTGTATATCCCTATACAGTTGGAGCTGGGGAAGGTGGAGGGTTTCTGAAACACACTGCAACTGCTACAGCATGCTCAAGCCAAGTATTTGAATGTTGTGCAGCAAGAGCATTGGCTGCTGATGCGAAAGAAACCAAACAGCTGTGCCATGTGAATAATCATGTGATTATTTCAGACTGAATTAGAACCTATCGGCCTGCACCATCTAGAGTTTCATGACAGAACTTTGTATTAAATCATTTACAATTGATTGATTCTCCCTAATTCTTCTTTTTCTGTTTTAAATGTTCCTTTCTAAAAATCCTACTGTGTGTCATACAATGCCTTGTAAAACCATGATTCTAAATTTGGGTGAAAAAAGCACCTCTCAAGCAATTAGACCATGTATGAAAAAAATTATTATGCAAGTTACAAAACACTCGTGATGTATAACTGTGAATGAATGAATGAATGATGCAGTTATATAGGGCTTTATTGTGTATTGCTGTACACCCAAAGCGCTTTGAAGTGTGAAGCACAATGTCTTCATCATATCCAGTCATATCCGGTTTTGGTGTGTAATGTCATTGTTGTTTTCATATTTACTAATATTTGTTCATGTAATGCAGGGATTTCCACTTTATTTAAAGAAAATATTTACTTGAAATATCTCTGAGGAAGTTAATATTTCAATAATTTAACTTAACCTTCGCATGGTTACACTTCTCCAATGTCAGTTAATGGTCACATTGACATGCAGGTAAACAAATTATTTTAGTGTTAGTATATTTTAGTGCTTAGTGTTTAATGTAATGTTGAATGCATTTTATGATGTTGATATAAAAGAAAAAAGGAATATATTTTCTTTCTCTGATTTTGGTGTCAATATGGTACATTTCATGGTAAGTTTAAAACAAGTTTGAAAAAAATAATAATATAAAAAGTAGTCACGATACATCACCTAAAAAGAGTAACCTAGATTACATTACTAACTACAGTTTTCATCATGTAATCTGTAATCAGTAATGGACTATAATTTGTAAGTAATCTATTCAGTACTGACACTCCAGTTTCCAGTACCATCCTCTGACTGCATTCTCTGACGCAGCATAAACTGTGTGAGTGCCCTTAATTAAAGCGTAGATGCTACTGTCTTACCGTCAGTGGTCTCCACGCAGAGCTGTAGGCCCATGTTCTGCTGCGGGTTCAGGACCCAGTGATTACTGGTGGCTGTGATGTCAAACACCAGCCACCCCCCATCAGTAGCGCGGATCTTTTTTGAGTCCAAGAGAAATGTTTCGGCATCCCTAATGAGACAATAAGAATGCACTATGACAATGTGATTTACATAATATTTTTGAATATAATATTTAACTGTCCCCCACAAATAGATGAATGTTAAACTGTAATGACATGTTTAAAATCCGAGACGAATGAGTTGGATTTTGCTAATTGCAGTCATTCTGCATCTTAATTAGCAATGTTGATTATAACATACAAAAACAAATATTGAAACGAGTGCAACCAAATTTTCTCTCAACCTTTCCTTTTCATCTCAACCACAATTTTGTCAACAAGCCATTCCTGTTCATCTACTTAACTGATGTTCCAAAACAGCACATGGGCCACACAGTGAGACAGCAGACAGGAAAAATGATCAGAGACAGTGGCACATCCCAGCATGCCACAATGAGGGCGAGCGCAGCACACCACCACATTCTGCATCCCTGTTACAACTCAATATTCTCATTTTCTTTTCAACTTTAGCGTGCCCAAGTGAATACGACTGACATAAAGTAGGCTATCTGTGCATTATATACACTGACCTCAAAAGACAGGGAGAGATGAAAACAGATGCTAATACATGTTCTCAGAACTCACCAAGTATCATGGAATTCTTTAAAGTACCATGGAGTGCCATGTGAATACCATGGCTAATGGTAAACCATTCAGTTCCATGGTATAAATCAAAGTACTGTGGTGTTACCATCTGTTAAATATTCTGATTCCACTACTGATGATGATTTTTCTAAACAAATACAATGGCATTTTTCTGCATTTCCTTTTATTAGAAGACCATCTGTTATGTCAAAAACTTTGTTCTGAATGTTGTTCTGAATGTCTTTGTTCTGAACAAACAACCAGTTGGTAATTACACTGATTTAAGCCTCATGAGCCTTCAGTTCAACATAACACATGAAAAGTTCTTGGTTCATTTCCAGTTTGGCACAACAAAAGTAATGACTTGTGGTTCAGTGAAAAAGTAAAGAACTGCTCTGACCGATTCAGCCAGCGAGTTATTAGATGGATTCAAACAAATAGTGAACCCGTGAGTTTCAGACTGATTTTAGAGTCAACTAATTAAAACAGTTCAGTCGCTTGCGAGTTGGATTACATTAAACTGCGAACAGCCAGAGAGGACAATGCACTAGAAACGTGTGGTCTATTTACTGTGTCATGGCACCCAGTCTTTTGCTTTCATTAAATTCATTTTTTTTCTCTGCTGAACAGAAACTAATGTCACCTGGTTCAAATAAATAAATTGAACTAGTTCTGAATAAGAATTGGTTCTCTATTCCCAATCCTAACCATCAAGGTACTGTACCTCCACAATACTGTTTTGTAAAGGTATAAAGTTTCATTTACCGCCATGCCTTTAACACTCACAGTGGGCACACTTTGGCAGGCTGTAAGAAGTGGGTGCTAAGCTGTGAAACACATAACTTCCACTAATCACAGGAAAATCACAGTATGGACACAGGAGTGAATGTGTGAAGTTGTCGGACGTGGACGCCTCATAAACACAGCCATGAGGAAGGTTTCCAGGGCCTCTGATGGCAGAATCCATTATAAACCCCTGTTTCATTGCCCCAGGAGAGCCGTATCTCCGCTTAAATATTTCAGCTGCATTCATTCATGGTGAGAAAAGGCCCTGTCTATGGTATGCCCATGTATGACTCAAGATAAGTCACGGGTCTCAATCTAGATTAGAAGACCATTAGAACCATGAAGAGGCAGGTGGGCACAGACTCACTTTTGGGAAGCTGTGGAAGTCTCTTGATGCAGAGGCCCTCTATTAAGGCCAGATGGCCCTGTCTGGGGTGCAAGCGCTCTGACAAGCAGTCGAGATATGCAAAGAGTGATAACTGATGGACTTTCAAGACTTTCATAAGTGCTGGAACTTGCAAATGAGCTGTTAATGGAAAGCTTTATCCATGGCCATTACCAGCAAGTATATCTGGTGAGACTGAGGAAGAACAGGTTTGCTTTGGTTCGGGTGGGCTCTGGTTAGACTTATGCCGGTATTCGGTAATGCGATATATCACGGTAATGACTATGCACGATATTGTTATCGTGGGCACTTCTAAATACCGTGAATAATTATATATTACAAATTATTCCGAATTTTGAATGCATTTTAAGAATACTTTTCCCATCAACTGGTCAAAATGCACAACACCGCTGTATGCTGCGTGAAAGACGCGTGCGCACTCTGATGTAAACAAGCACTGACGAGAAGCACATGGCAGAACATGTGAGAGCGCATGCTGGATGAAAGTGCACTTTCACTCTCTGACAACAGACGGCGCTAAACTGCAGAAATAATAATAATAATAATAATAATAATAATAATAATAATAATAATAATAATAATAATAATAATAATAATAATAATAATAATAATAATAATAATAATAATAATAATAATAATAATAATAATAATAATAATAATAATAATAATAATAAGGCTATTTATTTTCAAACTTTTTTTACATTTTAATCTGGACTACAACATGCCCTAGATATTGTTTGAAAGCGTTTTGATTCTGTATTGTTCGGTCACACTTTACATTAGGGCTTCTAGCATTAGCAATTAATCGCAACATGAAAATTTGATACCGGCATATCCCTAGCTCTGGTTAAAATAAATTATTCCTAGCGGACAAGAGGTTGTGTGATCCTTACAGAACAGAGTTGAACTATTGTCATGTTCTTTTAGTAAAGCCCAGATGGCTATATCCTAAAAATAAAAAAATTAAAAATAAATAAAAATCAGCAAAGCTGGGCTAGTTTTCTTAGGAAAAATTTTCCATACATCATTTCACAATGACTATGCAATCTTTCTTTGTGAATTAAAGGCAGAGGTTGGACCTCCCACACTTTAGATGTTGAGAAGGACTTGTATTACCATCTAACTCAAACCTTATAGACCAATTTAGAGTAGACGTCACAGTTACGTCACTTGCAGCTGCGCGCGCATAGTGGTTGCAGAAAAACACTGGGAACAAGTGGAGGTAAATGGGTAAAATCCATGGAATAAAAGAAAAAAAAAATGTTTGTGCCTTTTGATGTCAAGATCGGAATGCAAATAATTTTTAAAGAATGCTGTCGTCAAAGACGCCATTTGAAGCTAAACGCAGACGTTTAAATGGACATACTATGGATGAAAACTGCTATGATTACTCTACTTTTAAAGCATACATTCGATTTAAACAATAGGTCTACATAATATTCACATATGCTGTTCAAAGGGGACGTATTGTATTAGCCCTACAGTTACAGCATGAAATATTATTTAACATTAAACCTTACTATTAACATTTTTACATAGCATTTATTTTATCTCCCAATTTTGACTTTTTTTCTCGCAAATGCAAGTTTATATCTCCTAATTCGGACTTTATAACTCGACTTAACTCAAAAATAGTGAGTTTGTCAAATCTGAGGGAAAAAAAAACAGAAGAGCAGAGGGGAAAAGAGAGAATGATTGTTTTTCCTTATTAGAATTGTGAGATTGAGTTTGATGAAGGTGAACGGATTTGGTTTGCTGTGCAAAATAAGAGTGCTCAAGTTCAAAGGTTACATAATAATGAACGTGGTAATGAATGGATAGATTTAAGGCAGGAGATGGGGTGATGGAGGGATGCTGGAAGAGTCATCATGGTAGTGAGGTACGCAGCTGTTTATATACTCTTGCATAATGATTGACAGGATCAAATGAACTAGCTCCTCCTCAGCCTTGGCTTTAAAACTCCATAAAGTAAATCTTCTTTGTGGAATACTCAGAATGATAAAGATACCAGTCTGCCATTTGGATTGTTTTTACATTCAGCAAAAGCAATGATATTCGTTACACATTCATAGATCCTGTAGTAAATATGGTAGCCTACAGTAGTTGTAAAAGCAACGCTTGAGACACGTGCTCCTGAATCATGTTACACAACATCATCCTTGGAAAAAGTTCCAAAATGTGTTACATTAATATTAGCCAAATGTATTTAACTTTTTCCACACATTTTCTGAAACATTGTGTACCATTGTCAGTCTTTCAATGGTGACAAATTACGGTCTTAAAACATCCTGACGCATTCAGTTTAATCGTCACAAGGGAAACCTCCAGACAGACTCCAGACTCACTCGTGTAAACAGGATGTCTTTTTATTTTCCGCTTGATTGCCTGCCTAAAGTGTTTCACAGACTAGGTGGAGTTTTAAGAGACTATCCTACAGGTTTAATTGGAAGTCAGGTTTAATTTAAACTTAACGTGTTACTCTGGGGAAAAAAACTACCACTGATGCTTTGTTCAGCTGTAAAAGAGCTTTTTCAACACAATAGCATTAGTGTGTGTAGTGTTTTATGTATTTAATATGTAATTATATTTTCATATATACATCTTAAATACATGAGGGAGTTGTGTATTGTAAATGCCTGGGTTTGTGGTTTGAGTATGTTGTGATGTTTTATATGTGGATTTAGTTTATTGTGTTAGGCTATTGATGTTGATACTGCATAAATTGCCCTGTGAAGGGACAAAATAAAGAGTACCACTATTACTACTACTGTATTAAATTTAAAGCCATACAAATGTTTACAAATCATCTGAGGTTTACAGAATTTATATTTTAATATATGGGAGTTTGGATGCAGTTCATAAATAAATGTACCATCAAAAAGGTCTTTCTCTAATAATGTTTCTCTATCATTTATTGAAAGTCCTGCTATGAGATTGTGTATTAAACTCACCTAGCAAAGGTTCAGACAATTTTGATACTGACCAGGCAGAACATTTGAACACTGCCTTTCAAAAATATGTATTTATTTTTTTAAATAAATTAATACTTTTATTCAGCAAGAACACATACGAAAGGTTTCTGAGATTACATGTAATCTGGAAAAAAATCAAGTATTTGTAATCAGTATATTACATTTTATAATGCTCATAATCAGATTACAGTTAGTTTTTTATGGATTACATGATTACATATTATTTGCTCTTACTCTTAGAGTTGTCATGACAGAAAAAAATCTATTCATCCTTAAAAAAAATAAAGTATGAAATTTCAAGAAAAATATTAAGCATAAAAATCAGCACTTTACAGAATGATTTCTGAAGGATCATGTGACACTGAAGACTGGAGTAATGATGCTGAAAATTCAGCTTTGATCCCAGGAATATGATCACAGGAATAAATTACATTTGACAATATATTCAAACAGAATACAGTTATTTTAAATTGTAACAATATTTCACAATATTACTGTTTTCACTGTATTTTGATCAAATAAATGCAGCCTTGGTGAGCAGATGAGAAACTTTTGAACAGAATGGTGCCTATCTATTTCGTAGTCCTCAATGTTTGTAAATTGATGAAGTGTTTGTATTTTTGGCACATTCTTTTTAGATAGCAAGCAACATGATCTTTTTTTTTTTGGAACTACACAACCTGTAAAAAGCCAAGTTTACTCATTCTTATGAAATAAGAATATATAAGAATAAAATATGAAATAACACAAGTATGGGAATAATGTTGTGACAAAGAAGTGATCTAAGAAGTATTTGAACTTCATACTGTGATGCTTTTTAAATGGATTTGAAGAAGTTCATACTGTATGCATTAGACAATTATTGGCTGCTTTTCCTTTGCTCCATCTGCTCCAACTCATCCAGACATTTTGATTAAAATGTTGTGGAGAATTCCCTGAGAATTAATTATGGCCACTAACAATGGCATTTTATTTGCAGGTGTTGTTTGTGTTCTTTGATTTCATTTTGTAAAGAAATGCATGTATTCTATAAGAAGCAATTTAAGGAATGGGATCATGAGAAACATTAATTCACTCTATTGTGTTCAAACTTTCAAACGGTGGTGTAAAATGGGGAAAGATCTCACCTGTTTGGATATTCTTTGATGACTTGGTAAATGGTGACTTTGAGTGTGATGTTCTCATATCTGATGTGACTTTGATCCTTGTAAATCCGGAACTCGGCGGCGGTCACTGCCTCACCTTCTGGAATCTGAGTCAGGTCGAAACGAAACTCCCTGTAGTGTCTTCTGTGATGGGAGAAATCCTTATCCCTCTCGACTGCACGGAAACACAAAGCGCACCATGAGAAGGTGCACGGGACTCATTTTTCTCACACTGTAGGACGGAGGAAGACTATCACGCACATGTAAAGTGTCAGGAGATGCTTTCTTTAAAAAGTCATTCATCAAAACCGTCAACATTCCACGCCTAATCCACACATCTGGACGACCATCAAAAGCAGTATCCAGTCCATTAAAGCAGCCATCTAAGCACAGGTAGCAGGCGCTACACAAGCCCTTCCCTGTATGCTCTATCCATGATGAATGGGCAGTCAGGTAAGAAAAACAGGCCTTTGCTAATAACACACTGCGTTAGCAGAGAAAAGCTGACAAGACACAAATGTCGAGTTAAATCACAAGCTTTCTACTCCGATATGCTGACCTCCCAAGATCCCCCTTTCTAATCTGCTGCAAATACCATGCGGGTGAAATGTTATCATTGTCAGAAATTTAGTGCTACCTCCTAAAACTGTCCTAAATGGTAGAAACCTAAACAAGAAAACATTTTTGATATACTGGATGTGCCTAGTAGATAACGCTTTCTCTATATATCTAGAAACTGTTCTGCCAGATGGTGATCAAGCATTGCACTCAATGTGTGTTTTGACCCTTGAACAGGCCTCTGACATTCAGTGAGGTACCAACTGAGGAGTGAAAATCCTGCTGAGAATACGCTACTCAACCTGATTGTGCCATCACTACTATTCTGAAGACATACAGCACTGCTCATTAAGCAGCAGAGCTGAAGTGTGCTTGCTTTGTGGTGCCGGTGAAAGAGCGCAGCTCGGCTTCTCTGATAGCTTATCTACAGTGAAAGTCTGTAGTTACTTAACACGGAGAGGTCAGAGGGCAGGCCACAGTTACACCAGCTGGCCAGACTCAACTTCAGCATCCTGGCTGCTAATTAAGAACAGAGGATGGGGATCTAGTGCTTTCCGGGCAATAGAGAGATATTGAGAGAGATTAATTCAGCGCATTCATTTCAAGAGATCAATGGAGAAGTTAAAGCATGTTTTGCCTGCATGACAATGATCCAGTCTTTACCTTTGAATGGAGGCTTAAGCTAAATTTTCCATTTGCTCTACTCATAGCTGTTGTTTTTCTTTACTATGAGTGTCCATTTTGATCGTTCTCCTAACTCATGAACTACAGCATCAACACAAGCATGCAATGTATCCAGGATCCTTTTAGTGCTTTCGTCTCGTTGTACATTGAAAGATCTGCAGCGCTTTGAAAGAAGACGCTGTATATGCCCTCACTCTCCTGAGTGAAAACACATGGAGCGCAGTTAAGGTGATGATGGGCTCTACCTTAACACACACGTTTATTTACTCTGCCATATCTGAGGCCCAAACTTTGTTTATTCTGAACTCCCTTTTGTATTTTTCGGACAAATCCATAAAACAATAAAATCAAACAGAATTTTTGTGATTCATCTGGGTGTGGGATTTTATCCTCTCCATAAACAAAACAGCGACCTTTAACAGCATGTCCTTTAATGGAAAAACAAGCAAAAAATATGACTAAACCAGCGTCTAACGCATAAATTAGATTAGCAAAGAAAGAAAAAAAGGCTAGCTACTGGCACCAGATTACCAGATTTAGACCAAAAGCGTCCTTTCTTCAAGCTCTTTCCTCTGCTCGACAACAGGAAGTAATTAAGGCAAACTGTCCTCAGGTCAGACAGTCACTTGATAAGTTTACATGAACTGTGAAGTGAGAGGTCACAGCCACTGAAGTTGTATACAGTTCAGCGTATACTTATCGTCTTATCGCAACATTCTTCAAATATCAGTAAAAAGCATTTATTACTAATGACAGGATATTAACAAACCCTGCTTGTACACGTCCTTCATGATTTGCTTCACATTTTCTACTTTACAGTATGTGCATGTATGTTTTCTAAGAAGTATATTCTGATATAATGACACTCTTTATAGCCACATTTTTATTTTCTCTCTAACCTGCAATTGCCTCAGAGTTTCCAGTAACCATACAGTCCTATATATACACCGTTTATAGAGTTTTCAAGGACAGCGTAAATGTGGAGGACTATATTCCAGTAATATGAAAAAAATCACCTTGCTATTTTAACACTGGATTCGAAAGAAGGCACTACATTTGAATAAATGAACGATGGCATAGATATTAATTCCTTACAACGACACAGACGTTTGCAAGAACATAGCAATAGTGCAAAACTGTTGAATAAAAATAATTATTATTAGACAGACTTGCTAAAATAGTCTAATAGAAATGTACAATCACATAAGTGCACAACATCATCAAACGGCCTCAAAGTGAAACAGGCTATAGCGATGGCATTTTGATAGCATTGTTGTTGAACAATGTACTTCAATAATGCATTCATTCAAAATAGCATTTTTGATTTTTCCAATGAGATGTTTTCACTTCAATAACCAGCAAATGGACATCTATCTATCTATCTCTATATATATATATATTTTTTTTTTTCAACAAAACATGTAAGAAGCTTGTTTACTCAACTCAGCCCTTCTAGACTCCCGTGTGTCTACTAAATTCAATAGGCTATAATTTTACAGTTTATAAACTTGGTGAGGCACTAAATCTGTAATATTTTGACAAACGAAGCGGTAGCTGCCAATTATCAATAATTGCCACTTAAAATCAGGAGCTAGGCTATAATTGCATTCCTTCTATAAACGAGCACATATTTTAAGTTTATACGTGTTCTGATGTCTTAGCTCAAAATATATGTCTGTTAT